GGATTTTGGTAGAGCTTATATCTTTAAATTGAGACCCCTAAATTTCACAATGATCTGATTTCATTATGATCTGCAACGAATTATTAATTAACTCGTGATTGACAGCCAATCAGAGCGCAGAGACGAACAGGCAGCGCGCACATGACGGTGTCGATCAGAGTCTGAGTGTTCTCCGGACAATAATTCCATTCCAACGTACGACATATACATTATATAATTTATTAGTCCGCAAATATAAGTATTATTTGAAATATATTTAAGCTTGGTAATTCAAACCCATTAGAGTTTATTTTTTGCAATTATTTTATCATGATTTCAACAAAAACAGCTTTAATAAATGCAAATATATTACAATTTCGGGATCTAACCAGCAAAAAATTCTGACTGGTTAAAATTAAAGATTTACTTCATATTACTTGCTTTGTATATTTCATAACTTGCCCACTGAATTTCAAACCTTTTTAATCAAAGTATTGATTTTTATTAGTTGCTTTACTTTAAAAGCCAAAATTTTAATGTAATAGCTTTGTACTACATAATTATATTATTAGAAACGGGTCTTCCGGTTCAAAGATGTTATAATGAAAAAATATGGTTTAAAATGTTATACTAAAATCTAAAAGTTTTAATTGTAGAGAAAAAAAATTTCATTCTGAGTTATGAAACCAGTGTTTAAAATTTAATTTATTTTAATATGCAGAAAACTTAGCAATCCTTGTAACATAATTAAAATATAAAAAAAGGATGCGTAACATGCTTGGAACATAATAAAATTCACAAATTCCAGGAAATTTTTGTTTGCGGAACGATCAATCTGCGCTCCGCAGATTCCGCATATAGTTTTAAACACTGCATGAAACTCATTATAAACGATATAAAAAGCTCATGTAACAAAATTGAAATAATAACCAATAAAGCAAACATACATTATGGATGTTAATGCAGTGATCTTCGAGATTGAGTAAGCATCGGTATAATTTAATTTTCACGAGATCAGTTTATTGCGCTATATTCATTAAAGCCATTGTGTATACGTATTAATAACTTAAATGGGTAGAGTTGTATGCATGATGTAAATATTAGTGTAAATAAATGGAATTGTAAATTGTAAATAAATGTTTTTGGCGGCTCCGCCTTCACCGACAATCATTTCACCGAAATGTAATTTAGCCGACATCACCCTACGTGACAATTTGCTAGCAATATATCCTAAAACTAATAGCATGCTAAATTGTCACATAGTGTGATGTCGGCTAAGTAGAGCAATACCGATACCGATACAGGCTCGAAACAATGTATAAAAAAACGAGTCAAGTTGCCATATGCAGTCAAAACAATATGAATATTTAAGCATAAATTTATTTAAATCCCTAATGGTCAATAAACTAAACTAAATAAGGATCTTGAAATCCAAATAGTTTAAAAAATCATAACATTCATACTAAAAATACTTTATATATATATATATTGTATATATTAATCAAAAAAAAACATACAATATCCATACTAGAAAAAATATAATATCTAGATAATAAAAAAAAAGGGGCATGGTATTCATAATATTAATATGATTCGCCGTTTACGAATATTTATCAATCTATTTAAAAGGCCGTCAAAACGATATTTAACAAAAAAAGTGGCGCTACCATTCATCCCACATTTCCTTATACCTAAATACATATTATATGTTACTTAATAATAACTTACATAGGGTTATTTGTATAGTTATTGATATGGAATATCAAAGTATAACATTTGTTCATAGGTTAGTTGCTCTTCAGTGTAACAATTGAAAACGAGAGGCCAATCAATATCAGTGGGCAATGAATTAAAATCAGTGGGTAATGAATTAAAATCATAAACATTGGTATCGATAAATTCGCAATCCAAATATAATTGTTGTTCTTCGTTATCGTTTGAAAAAAGATGGTCGAATTTCGGTGGAGGCTGCTCAGAACTTTTTTCGCATTGAATTGCAGAACTAACATTTACTTGAAATGAGGTCTCGTTTGATTTACGACCACGTTTTTCCCATACTACTCGTACACAATCAAGATTTCTTTTTTTGCAATATTTGCATTGAGTACCTTCATCGTCGCATTTGTGCTTTTTCTTCTTACAATTGGTACATGCTCTTCCGTTGATGTACTTTTTTCTGCGAATACAAGTCATTGTTGTCGACAAAATCGTTAAGAACAAGCTTCAGAATATCTAAAGAGGTTTCTGATATATTTAAACGTATCTAGCATTAAAGGAAGACTGAAGTTAATTTCGAAATAAAATAATTTCGAAACACTTCCGATTGTTTTATCAATAATTATTGATATCTGCCTCAGAAAATAAGAAAAGTTGAAAATTGGCTTTTTTATATTTTTCTTGAGATAAAGTATTTTTAGTTTACAAGACGCTGTATTCTCGATTGAAAATTACTGTAAAGACATATATAAAGTTCACGTTAATGATTCACACGAAAGTCATTTGTTAATTCGGGGCTGCCCAGCTAGCCACATGCACGCAAAACGGAAAAAATAACTGAACAAGTAAAAAAATTTGAACTTATATAAAAATCTTAATCCAAATTTTCATTATAGTGATTTCTATATTAGGGATTCGTTGTAATATATTATTTGTAATGTGTAATATGGGTTTTGTTGCCTGCGGCTTGCCACGTGCGTTATGCAATTATTTATTATTACAGTCTTTCAGGTGCGTTAGTTTTGGAAACTAACAATGCTTTAGGAATTTTAAAAATTTCTAAGCATATTTAACCGAGACTTAGATCATTATGGCGCATTAGAATTTGACTGGATTATGAAGTGTATCATTTACTATTTCTTTGTTCTACATTTTTTATTGTAAAGTCATATGAATAAAGTCCCATGAAAAGATAGGATTAGGCATTATATATATGATTTACAATAAGAAATGTCAAAAAAAAAGGAAAAAATAGTAAACGACGCATTTCATAGTCTAGTCAAATTCTCAGATAGCCACAAAAGCGCCATAATGTATGTACTTAGTCATTTTATCGGCTATTGATATACCCTAATAAATGATTCTAACCATTTCGGAATGGCTTTACCGATTTTATGTAAAATAGTATTGAATTTATAACCGATGATTCGCATTTGGTGAATCGTTCCACGCTAAATTGATTATCAGTCACGAAAACATTGTTTTGACAATCCGTTTTTGAAATTTTGTTCTTTAATAAAATTATTTTTAAAAATTTCCGTAACAATAAGTAATATTTTAAACATGCTTATGATCTAAATACACAACTGATTATATGCAAATAATTGTAAATATTTATTTTACAACATAAATACTCATTAATCAAATAATATGGATTCATCATAATTGTATGAATAGCTTCTTAAAGTGCTACCATAATGTAATCTAATTTAATTCCAACATTGGATGTATAACGATTTCAAAAAAAAAACAAAAAAAAACAAAGGGGGTTGCTCAATAACACCTTTGTTAAGATTCGACACAAATACTAGTGTAATCATTAGGGTTGTTAATGGAGTGTTCCAGTTGATGATAAAACATATAACCCTTCGGAGCACTCCAGAAGCGGGTTATATGGTTTATCATAGTCTGGAG